GGGGTAGAAATGAGAAGGGAGAAGGAGTGGAGAGGATTAGAATTTCATCTTTACTAACTTCAAAATTTGGCGAAGTTTTCAGGAAATAATCAAACCTTGGGTCGTGTCTTAAAAACCTGCAAACATCAGCGAAACAATAACTTCCAGCTTACCATACACCTACACACATTTATCAACCAATCGGCAGAATTTGGGGTTCGTCATGTCTCCTTACATGGAATGAATAATCCAAACCCCGGCACATACATAAATAATCTAAAGAAAGGAAGAAAGAAAGAAAGAAAGAAAGAAAGAAAGAAGGAAAGAAAGAAAGAAGGAAAGAAAGAAAGAAGGAAAGAAAGAAAGAAAGAAGGAAAGAAAGAAAGAAAGAAATACAAACACGCCTAAAGCCTGACACAAACAAACAAATAATAAATGATGCACCCCAAACACACAAGCGTAAAACAAATATGGGGGGGGGGGGGGCAGCCTCCAGACAAAGTCATTCTTTGGATACAAGACATCAAGGGGCAAGTTACAAAATAAAATTGAGCCCACGTAAACCGAACAAGGTTTATCACAGTGGTAAACCAATGGGAAAAAACAATATCACCCCCGTTTTATTTTTCTTCTACCGAAGCACCCTCTCTGGATCGAAAACCTGTCTCAACCGAGTAAAATCACGCAGTCTGACAGATTTCAGCCCAAGCCAATTCCACTTTAGTGTCCTGTTATTCCTTGCTTAGTTTTTTAAATAGTTTTTTGCTAAAAGATAGCAAGTGCCTAAGAGACATGGTTTTGATTTAGGAGCTCTACTTTTTTTTCTCTTTTGAAAAAAAATTATTTTAGGTAAGAGTTTTACGGCACTTGCAACACAATTAGGTCATAATACTAAAAAGATGGAAGGAGAGATCGGGACGACACCAGAGCACCCGCCATCCACCCACCTTTTTCATGAATTTTCTCAAAACTCCAAAAGATGACTTTGACAGAAAAGATAGGATAGAATAGGATCAGATAAGATGAACATCTTTATTGTCCACATCCTAGCACACTGGTTTCGTGTTTCGCCACGTATACACACACACATATACACACATACACACACACTCTTCCCTCCCACACACATCCTCTCTTCCACACACATCTGTGCTCATAACCATGACAACACTAACACAACAGTATGCTTGCACTAGTGAGATATCGACGGCGACAAAAAGCGAACATACCTTAAAGCGGTGCTCTCCCTTGTCCTCGGTGTAGGTGGGGTTCCCCTCCATCTTGCCATAGTAGTACTCATCCAGCGGCACCCACTTGCCTGTCGCAACCAACGAAAAACATATAAACTGCACGCTTGCGGACTTCTTCAAATCCCAATTGGGAACGCCAGTGATTGTTTAACATCAATATTACATTAACAAAATTACATCAAGTGGGACTGGTTGTGTTGGGAGTGTACGTGGTACAAGTTACGGTCAATGATTCCTGTACTTTTATTACAAACTACATCGTTACGGTCAATGATTCCTGTACTTTTATTACAAACTACATCGTTACGGTCAATGATTCCTGTACTTTTATTACAAACTACATCGTTACGGTCAATGATTCCTGTACTTTTATTACAAACTACATCGTTACGGTCAATGATTCCTGTACTTTTATTACAAACTACATCCTAAGTTTTAATTTCAGTAAGAATTATATGTCACTGCGGAAGTCGTTAACTAAGCATTTTTCAAAATGATCTCCCTTGCCCACAGAAACTTACCGGCAGAGGAGTCCTCGACAGAATGTGACGACTGCTTCCTGGCCCGTTTCCTGGCCGGTTCCGGACTCAACTTGCTTTGCGCCTGAGCTTCATCCCTGGCGATAGGAAGTGGAATTGTAAACGTTTTGTGCCTCAATCGCACGGTTTAACAAACTTAGTTCACAGATAATTTTGACTCTGGAAGCAAATTTGTCACAACGCGGTGGAATCAGGCGCTCGTCAATTTTTGGGTATGTGGTGTTATTGGTACCATCTTAAAGCTTTTTCATTTGTCTTCACATATAAGTGTGATGTATCTATTTCCCTTTTGTCAGCACGCTTCACAAATTATTATTGTGGGGAGTTGGGGATGGATGGCTTGGGGTCACCAAGCAACAAATAAAACTTTTCTAAATTAGAATCAGTGGTATCACGATCATATTTTCATAACACTGAATAAAAATCATAACGCTTCCACCAAATTTGTAACAATAGGCAGCCCAGAAGTCAGCTGACTCCCCGCAAACATACGCGCCGCTGCCCTGCCCCCAAGGCAGTGCCACTGAGTGAAGTGTCTTTAGGCCGTTCCCAAAGAGGGGATATTAACATGTTCTTATGCACGGTAGAATTGTAAATGGGTCGATTTATCAATGTCATGCTCATAACTGTTCCGGAACAACTGCTGCTTTTTCTTTCCTCGTCCTTACTTGTCATTTTTTCCTCTACTTCTTTTGTATGTTTGTCACACTCTTGTGAACTGCTATTTCAGTGATGCCTTGATAGTCGAAGCAGACTTTGTGCTGTTGAGGCTAGAGAGGTGAGCAGAGTAAGCCTGATTACCCGTTCGGACTTCTCTGTCGACATCCACCCCTTGGTGCTCATATGACCTTATGCAATTGCGAGCGCCGTAAAACCTTACTAAAAACTATTTTCTAAAAACACACACGCGCGCCCACAAACTTTCCACCAACCTCAGGCTAGCCAGCGTCTCCATGGCAGGGTACGATGGGCGGGGCGCCAGCGTCTTCAGCTGTCGTTTCGAACCTGCATCCTTCTGCGACGAGGCCGACCCGGCCGCCTTCTTGGCCGCCTGTGTCCGAACCGGCGAGGCGGTGGGGGGTGGGATAGACCAGCCGGGGGGCAGACGTATTCCCAGCCCCGACGTGCCTTGTACCTGCCGTACTGTCCACATACACAAAGACAATTATTATAAGCCAGTTACGGTTAATACTTTCAGTACTAGACTGTCATATGCTCTCATTACCACTGGCAACAATTATACGTCAGTTATGGTTGCCACAGTTTGTCGCCACCGTGCAGCCCCCCTCTCCCCCTACCCCCCTCCTCCTTTTTTTTAAAAATAGGGTTATCTTATCTTGCTTGCTCAAAGACACACCCCAGCGACCACCCACCTAAACACTGGATCGTCAATGTATACTTTGTTTGAGGAAAGAAAATGTATACATTTTAAAGTAAGTGTACAGTAACCCCCCCACCACACACACACACAAAA